ACGTAGGAAGTTTTCCTACTAATACCTAAAATGTGGGGGTGTCTTGCCAAAGGCGCTTTGGTTCTTAGTACACAAGTCCTATGTTTTCGAAGTACATAAGAACACGGTAAATTGAATCAAGAAATTCATCGCTCTTTAGAAGATGCATTTCTGTGAAGGTTCAATAAAATGACCTAGCACGGTGAAATGAACTTTCGACGTAGCTATGGTTGGAGGATATGAAAGAGAACCCGAGCTCAAAGCTAGACGTAGCAAGAGAGCTAGGATTGGAAAATCCTGTGGTCCATATTTTATGACGTACATGCTAGAATGTGACGCGCATATTCTAACTTGTTTACTAGAAAATAAATTGGATTTTCTGACATGGTTGTTAGAAAATGAGCCTCGAAAACGTATGTAGAAGTTGTGACTTCTACGGATGGACCAATATGAAAGAGGCTACGAAAAAGTGAAGTAGATTCTATCTCAGAGAATCATACTTGGAACTGGTTGTTCTTCCTCCGGGTTGTAAAACCTCTGGATCCTAAGTGGATCACTAGTCGGAAGATAAAACCGGTTGGTTATATTGAAGTAAAATGGCCGTGCTTGTAATTGTAGATTACATGCAACACGAGTGCCACGGTTACTTCGATATATATATATATATATATATATATATATATATATATATATATATATATATATATATATATATATATATATATATATATATTCTCTTGTGATGAGAATGAAATCTATTAGTATGATACTTGCCACAGTCGTTTAGCGAGACTTGGAAGTTCATCGAAATGGATGGATTGCTTTTTTAGTAGACATAGAAAACGACCTGAGGGTTTGTGGTTCCACGCTGTGAAAAGAAAGTGTGTAGATTGGTGAGATCATTGTATGGTTCAAAACAATTGCCTTAGTATTTGGCATATAGGTTTGATCATGCAATGATGACCAATGAGTTTAGTATAAATAAAAGTGACAAGTGGGTCTACGTAATGTATATGAGAGACGGTGATATCACTGTTTGTTTATACACGATAAACTCATCATGGGTAGTAACGATCAAATGATCAATTCTACCAGGATCATGTTAAATTTGAGATTTGACATGAAGGGCATGAGTTTGGCGGATTTAATCATTGGGATTAAGATTGTGAGAAGACCAGATGGTCTGTGGTAATCCAATCTCATTGTGTTGATTAAATCCTTGCAAAGGATGTTAATCAAGTGGCTTGGACACCGTTAGATACTAACGTACAATTAGCCAATAATCACGGAGATTGTACTTCTCACGGAGAATACATTTAGATTATCGGTAGTTTAATTGTATCAAATGGGTTGTACTAGGCCGGATATAGCCTTTGCGGTTAACGAACTCGGTAGACATACGAGTAACCCTAGTGTTACGCACTGAGATACTTAAGGTATGCTCGTGACTTTGGACTGCAATACGTGGGATATCTAGCTGTACTTGGAAAGTATAACACATTAACGGGATATCAAAGGACGCTAAGTCCATTAAAGGCTACGTGTTTACGTAGGCCAGTGCAATTGGTTGTATGGAAATTCTCAAAACGATTTGTGATAGCTAAGATCCATGACGGGATATAAGCTGAGAGCATTAGACTCGTGTCACGAGCGAGTACGCCGAATGACTATGCCAATTTTTCAAGAATGTTCCTAGAGTTAAACTCGTACCTCCAATTTGTGTGCGTTGAGATAGTCAAGACAAAATTGGTTAAGTATAGAGTTAGATGTGGAATGGTAAGTCTAGACTTATAAGTCGTAGACATAAAACCATTAAACAATTTCTCACAACAGGGGTTATCTCTATTGACTACGTGATGTCAAAAGATAACGTAGCGGCCGCTAACTCGCTAACCCGAGGGTAAGCAAATGGTTGTTGAGAAGTTGGAACGAGGAATGGGTCTAAAGCCCTTGGTATACAAGTTCTATAGTGGATACCCAACCTAGCTAGCACCTAGGTTCAATGGGACAACTAAATTATGGAACGGAGCGAGTCACTGTGGGGATCTCGGACTCCCTACCACTCCTCGTTAGAAACAGTGACTCCCGCACGAGGCTAACACGTTGGTGTTTTAATGATTCGAATGTCGGTTGACATGTGTGAGTATGCAGGATACTCGAGAAAAAAAATCACCTATGTTAGAAAGAAGTGAGGGTCGCTTCAAAGGAGAATTGATAGGCACAATTCTTTAGAAACTCTCGCAAAACCAGGAACGGTGATCCACGACTAAAATAGGCACAGTCATGAGAGCAGAGCATGGTTGGGAGGTTCCTGTGTGAGATATGTCATCATCTACACAAACGGAAATCGGTTCAAAGACATCGCGTTCTACCGTACAGCCAGTAGAGTAAACTTGTCTTCACAAGGAAAGGTTCAAAGGGTAACACCTACCTATCCTATGCAGGATCGACCGTTGAACACAGTTGTTTCCGATTTCAAAATACCCTGAAAATCAATTTTCATTCATGTGGGGGATTGTTGGAAAAATAGCATTACAATGGCATTTTAAGTGGCTATTTTTGTGGTACAATTATAAGTGGGTTCCATTTCCGAAATGGGTCGGGTCAAAGTGGATTCGGGTTCTTCGTAGTGAGACGAAGAGATTGATATATTGTACACTCAAAACGGATAATGGGTGAATGAGATATTGAGTCTCAAAGTAAACCCATTGAGTTGGAAAAATGAAGGGAAAAAGATGAGCTTTTGTCCCACATTGGTTTGGGAAGAGGATTTGCCCCACTATTTATACAAGAGTCTTTAAGAGTCTTATTCAATTATATAGCATAAAGGTTCTCTCTTGCGTGGGGGGAAGGGGGGAGGGGAGGTTGCAAATCAAATCCCAAACTGAGAAAGGTTCGTTTGACTCACGCTAAAAACCTGAGGATTATAAGTTCATTTTTTGATATATATATATATATATATATCTACTATACTAATAAGAGCACAAGAGAGTTAGGCCTATAATGGGTAGAAAAAATGGCGGTCAAATTTTTTAATCAAATGAATGGCTCAGATTGATCAGATTTTAATTTTTCCTTAAGATTTACTAATTTATCCTTAATGAATATGATTATCCGTTAACTTTTCCGTTAAATATTATCTTTTCCGTTACTTTATGTTAGTTCACCGTTAACTTACTCATTAATTTTAATAAGAAAGGTCTTAGGTTCGAACCTCATCCTAATCAAAGTTGGCATAATTAGTACTCTATTTTAGTCTTATTAAATTAAATAATAATTTAGTAGCTACAACAAAAAATAATACATATGCATTTCTTTAATTTAGAATTATGTGTCTACAATGTCGTTATTCAAAAAAAATTATTTTATCAATAAATTAAATAAGAGAAATAACTTCATTAGTTATATTGTCTTTATTTTTCTCCAATATAAAATTCTTTACATTCAAATTCATCAATTGATTATATTCACTACATTGTCCCTACAATGTCTTTACTAAAAAAATTATTTATTATCAATAAATTAATTAAAAGACATAATTTTATTAGTTCTATTGTCTTTATATTTCTCCCAAGTAAAAATTCTTTACATTCAAATTTCAAATTCATCAATTGATTATATTCACTACATTGTCTATTTTTTTTTTGTGCACTATTTTTTAATTAAATATCAAAGTTATAATACAAAATAATGCTATATAGTTGTTTACCAAGTATTTTATTAATACCATGAAAAATTTTAAAAAATATAATTAATAAAGCCAATCATATTAACTATCTGAGGGATTTGTTGACAAAGAGAGTATTCAAATCACACAACAAATTGAAGTGAGAATTACCTCGCAATGTCCTTGTTTGACAATCAGCAGTTAGCGTTAGCGGATTATATTAGCGAATTTGACCAGCGAATTATATCAACGGTTGGTAAAAAGATATTTGAAAAAATTAGTTGTTGTTTAGATTAACATGTAAAATGACCTAAGGGTATACATATATTTAATAATAATAATAATAATAATAATAATAATAATAATAATAATAATAATAATAATAATAATAATAATAATAATAATAATAATAATAATAATAATAATAGTTTTAAAAAAATAAAAAAATAATAATAGAATATAATTAAGCCAATCATATTAACTACTTGAGAGATTTATTGACAAAAAGAGTATTCAAATCACACAACAAATTGAAGTAGGAAACTACCTCGCAATGTCCTTGTTTGGCAATCAGCAATTACCTTTTCAATATTAGTATATATTTAGTATTTTATGCCCTAATTTTAATTTACTTTCCCTTATCTCCCGTATTTGGTTTCAACCATACCTATACAATTATTTTATTGACAATTATAATCAATCTTGACTATATTATCTTGCATTTGTAAACTTAGAATTGCCTATTTAAATACGTAAATTTAACATTCAATTATCTATGCACGAACAATTCCAATATAATCTTGCATTGATATACTTTAAAGTACTTATTTAAAAAAAAAAAAAAACATTGGGCATTATCCCAATCGCGCAATGCGCGTAAAAAACTAGTATATATATATATATATATATATATATATATATATATATATATATATATATATATATCGGATATATATCGAATAATATTTTATATATTTTCGTGCGTATATATAAATATTATTTTGCGATATTAAATCGATTTTGGTTCATTATTCCCAACAATTCCCGGGGTATGATAATGTATATTATGAGTTAAGAATAATGTATTTATGTGTTAGAATAATGTATTTTATGAGTTAGAATAATGTATATTGTACTTGATGTGTTAGAATAATAAAATTTCTCGAGTAAGATAATATATTTTATGAGTTAGAATAATATACTTGATGTGGTAAAATAATATTTTGTATGAGTTACAATATATAATACATTTTATGTATTTTTTTTTTTATCGTAGTCCACGTAGCTTTGTGGACCACCATCTACGCAATAACGCCAATGGCCAAAAAAGAGTGATATGTGCTAGTAGTAGATGAATTCAAAACCAATAAAGCACACCAAGTGAACCTCTTCTTAGTCAGCTTGATGACATTGATGCATGGCTTCTTGTTTGTAGTTTATGGAACAATCTTCCAATGCAGGCCGGTCCTTGCATTCCACCTCATATTTCTTCAAAGCCTCAATCAAACGTTGAGTCATTTCCAGGGAAGTTGTATACCCCTACAATTTAATAAAAATGACATGTTAATAGACATACATTACACAAAACACACCTAGCTAGCAAGCTAGGCTAGTCTAACAAAGTCCCATACATCACTCTGGACTTTGAGCATATGCAATGCTATCAGTTCTGGAGTGGTGGCCTCATTGTTCAAATCCTTAGATTGCAAGAACTCCAAAACGCCCCTCTTCAATTCGGAGCCCTCTGCCACAAGTCTAGTGGCCTCATCAACCAATTTCTGAATTGGCTCTGATGCGTGGGCGGCCTTAGCGTTAGAGTCTAATATTGGAGGAGGAAGTAATGAAGGGCTCGCCATCTCACCTGCAATTAAGTAAGCATATAACTTCTTAATTAAAACCAGTAATGCCAAAGGTCTTGTGGTCGAGTGACATAGGTGTGACCCCTCAAATGAGAGGTCAGATACTACAAAGTTAATTTGACCTTGTACTAGAAACCGGGACTTTTGCTTTTCCTGGCTTGTTCCTCTCACTCTTCTTTCATTCTGGTTCTGGAGAAGTCCCCCAGCACGCCTAAATTCTGCTATTTCATCAAATTCTAGGAGCCCCTTTGTGCTTGGAAAGAAATGCACTTGACCATCCATGTCTCTATGCAATACACACAAGCAATAATATATCTTCAAAGGATACAAAACTGCGTACAACTCCAGTTCTTCTCTAACTTTTATTCCGACCTTAAAATGAAATCTTTCAGACGTGTTTATCACAATATCATCTTCCATTCTAAAGTGAAATGTTAAAGGGTGATGATGCTTTAAGCATGTGCAATCTGCATGGCTGACTTCCTTTACAATCAAAGCACCACTCATTTTGTTTTTGACAATGATACGAGCTTCACAAGAACAATTAGGATCAAATCCCCCGTGGATAATATCAAAGAACTCATGTGTCAATAGCGACGGAATAGTGCAATATAAATATGATCCGACCATTTGAAGCCAAATCTCGACATCATCACCTTTACAATGCGCCTACGTTATGTAAAAATACAATATAAAGAGCATTACTTGTTAGGGATAATTGTATTAAATAAATTTTGATGACACATGTTGTTGATATTAATGAGAACAAAATACAATAACAATGACATTCAAAAAAAATACAATAACAATGACAGAAAGTAAACAAGACAAAATTTACGTGGTTCAGCAAAGTTTCATGGTTCTTTTATTAATTGGTGATGGTGATAAAAATAAAACCAATGTATTTATAGATATCTCTAAACATGTATATGTATTAAAATACCCTTTGTACAATTGTACTGTATTGACATTCTGTACTTACAGATATACTCAACAAATCTCCACTGCATGTGGTGAATATGTGACCCCGTAGGACAAAAACCTATCTCACATATACTGATGAGTCAGGGTAGCCATGCTCATCTAGCACATTGAAGCACCCATTAACAAGTCCAAATAATGCTTGAACTTGCCAGTAGTAACTATCTTTGTCAACATGTTTGATCTGCTGCATTCTCACTAGTATGATATACTTCATTTTTAGCCAAAAAGATGGCATTCTGATTGTCATATGTAATTGAACTCCACCTATCTCAATATACAATTCCTCAATCAAACTTAAAAGTCACAAAGCCTTTTTAGTTGCCTTAGTCATAGCCAAATATATCTTTTGCTTCAGTTGTAGACAAAGCTACAACAAACTAAACTGATTATCTCCAATAAATAGGACCACCACAACAAGAGTAGTATAGACATATCCCATTGTAGAACATTTGTTATCCATGTCATAAGTATAATCAGAATCCACATATCTCACGAGTACATGCTCACTCTATTAACTTCCAATTACAATATCATGTCCCATAGTGTCGCTTAATTGAGTACCAGAGAATCTACTTAACTGTGTCCCAATGTTGCATCCCAAGTTTGAACATGTACTTACTGACTTGGCTAACAGCATATATATGAGCTAAATCAAGTCTAGTACAAACCATCAAATACATGAAGCAGCCAATTACACTAGCATAAAAAACATTTCACATATCTTCAATCCAACTAACTGTTTGGGGACGCTGACTAGATGAGAGCTTAAAATGATTAGCCATAGGAGTGCTAATCAGTTTAGACTTACTCATCCCAAACCTTTCAATGACATTCTCAATATACCTCTATTGAGTTAGCCACAACTTCCTTACACCTTTATCCTTGCGAATTTCCATGCCAAGAATTTCCTATGCAAATCCTAAGTCATTAATATCAAATTCCTAACTCAACAAAGCTTTTAATAAAATAATATCATTCATACTCTTAGCTGCAATCAACATATCATCTATATATAGTAATACAAAAATAAAAGAATCATTATCAATGCTCTTAACATAGACACATGAATCACACTCACAACATGTCTAGCCAATTTGGATTATATAAGAATCAAACTACTTGTACCATTGTCGTGGAGCCTGTTTCAACCCATACAATGACCTCTTAAGCCTACAAACTAGATGCTCACCTACGGGTTTAACAAACCCTTTAGGTTGCTTCATAAAAATTTGTTCATCTAGATCACCACGTAGAAAAGTGGTATCACATTCATCTGGTCCAAATGCAAATCACAAATAGCTACCTAACCAAGAACTAACCTGATAGAAGTATGTCTAACAGTAGAGAAAACCTCATCATAATCAATCCCCTTTTTGTTGAAAAAAACCCTTCGCAACTAACTGAGCATTGAATCTTTCCCCTTCCTTTTCTAATATTACTTGTTTCTTCCTATAGACCCACATGCACCCTACATCCTTCTTGCCTTGAGAAAGATGAACTAGCTCCCAAGTATATAACTCTAGTGCAAAAGACTCCATATATATCCTCAATCATAATTACAATCTATTCATCTTTCTCCTGGCTAGAAATAGCCTCTTGAAGGTAACTAGATCATTATTAGTAACAAGAAGTGCAAAAGAGACCATATCCCCAAACTCATATATGCTAGGTGGTTTGACATTGGAATACCTCGGTCTATCTCTTGCCAAACAATAATCCTATAAATCCTCTAAAACTGAACATGTTGCAGATGTGGAACCTACTGCATATGTGGAACCTGTTGTAGATGTGGAATCTTCGACTTCTTGAGTCTAAATCGTAAGGGGATTATTTGATCTCTTAGTCAAAGGAACTCCATTTATATACACTTCTACTATGCTAGAACCATCAACTAGTGCATCTTTTTTCTTTGGCTGAAGCACAAAATGCTCATTAATACGACATCTCTGCTAGTCACCACCTTCTTGATTGTAAGATCCTAAAACTTGTATCATTTTACAACTTTCTTGAAGTTCAGAAAGATGCACTTCTTTTAATTGGATCTAATTTTGATCTCTCATCACCTACAACAATAATATAGCCAAGACAACCAAAAACTCATAAGAGATCAAAACTCACAGTCATAGGATTACCTTACCCAACCTCTTCAAGAACCTTGCCACCAAGTGATTTACGGGGTGATCTATTGATCAAATAACGTGTCACGTTCACTGCTTCTAAAAAAAAAAAAAAAAAAAAAAAAAAACACTTAAAGAGCCCAACATTCAATCTGAGACACCTTGTTTTCTTATAATGCTCATATTAAGCTGCTCAGCAACACCATTCTGTTGTGGTGTCTTACGCACTACATAGTGACTTTGAATTTCATGCTATGCATAGAATTTCTTGAATTCTTTCTTTGTATATTCCATCACATTGTTAGACCTCAAGAACTTGATTTTTCTACCAGTCAAGTTCTCAACCTCAGACTTCCAAAACTTGAATTTCTCATACACTTCATGTTTTTCTTTCGAGAAATACACTCAAACTTTCTTAGAAAATGGTCAGTAAACGTAACATAATATTAAGAGCCACCCAGTTAAAGTTCCTTGGTGGGTCCCCAAACATTAGAATGAACATAATCAAGAATCCCATTGGTTTATGCTTCCTAGTAGGAAACTAACTTTAAGCTATATCCTAAGGATGAGAGAACGAATTCAAAATCAATTAAATAGATGAGAGAGATTACAAGATAGGAACAAATATAAAAGCTACCACCTAAATCTCCTATACAATAGGCTAGAGTAACAGACTAATCTAAGACCACAAAACATAAACCATATAATATAAAACTATTGTAACATATATTATTAACACTAAGGACACTGAACACACAAAAATCTAGCTTACAACATTTAACCCTTTTACCAGATTCCTTTTATGAAATTCAAAGAAAAAAAACCACGTTCACCAAGTGACCCAAACATAAATGCCACAACCTAGTTGTATCACCACCAGATTCAATAAAATGTGCTCCACCTACAATAGCACTACTCAACAACCTATAAACGGTACCCGTGGTCTTTTTCTATTTCATCACAATTAAAGTGACCTTGTTGATTGAATAGTTTCCCTATCACTTTCATATCTATGAATAAAACTATTAGCATGCAAACTGCCTTAAGAATTGAAGTTCCAAATCAGGTATATATTTGAATGTTAGACATGTATGCCTTAGGAGTCAAGATTTATTTTTTTGGCCATTGTATTCTACTCAAATAAATATAATAAATAAATGTTTTTATTTATTTTATTTTGCCTTAATTAATATTTGATATTATTCTGTGCAAACTTCGTAATTCTTCATTCTTAAGAGTTAAGAATATGAGTGACCAAAATTTTATTTAATGAAGTATTGTAAAAATGTTCCTAGTCATAGAAATTCTAATTAGGCATTAGAATTCTGATAAGACTAGCACATTGTCCTTCTTATGGTGAGTCTCATGCCATTCCTTATGAGATACGGAAAGTGGACATGCAGATGATTACTAGAGAACAAGTCATTGAACAATGTCTGACTACAACGTACCGCATGATGTTTACCAACGTGTCACCGGTATGTTGTATGTTACAAGTAAGCAATAATCCTTTGACTTGAGATGGAAGGATTAAAAAAACTAACCTGAAAGCAGCTTTCTATCAACGGAATACTCAAAGCAGTACAATTTGTTATCTCAAGTCTTTGTATGGAATCAAGACTCTCCAGACCTGGAAGTTCAACCAAACTTTTGCAGTTAGGAAGGTATAGCTCCTTAAGTCTTTTCAAGTTTGATATGTTTGCTATTTTCTCCAATGAGACACAACCTTTTGCAGAGAGTTTCTCCAAATTAGGGGGAAGTTCTCGGAGTTCTTTGAGATTGAGGCAATCCTCCAATTCAAGATTTTCCAATCTAGAAAGATGAAAAAGGGTGAAGGGTAAACTTTCAACACAATAACTTCCTTTCAAACTTAAAACTTTCAAAGAGGACAATCTCTGAAGATTAATGGGAAGATCTATCTCATGCAGATAGTTGTCAGTTATATATAGAGCTTCCAAGGAACATAAATTTGCAACTGTGGGTGGGAAAAAGCCAACAAGATTGAAACTTGGAAGATGGGATTTTAATTTTGGTGGTAACAAATGGTTTTGTCGCCCAACAGACAGGATCTTCAGGTTTCTCAAACAACCCAAAGAAAATGGCAAATGTGAGATGTTAGTACTATGAGCAAGTAATTTTCTTAGTTGCTCCAATTTTCCCAATTCAATAGGGAATTCTTGAAGTGTGGAGCAAAAACTTAGGTATAAAAATTGAAGTGATTTTATTTGGCAAATGGTAATTGGGAGCTCCTTCAGCTTCTCGCAAAATGTCAAATCTATCTCAATAAGCCTCTCCAAACTCCCAATTGAGGGGTGTAATTGGACCAAATTTGAACAATGCTTAAAGCACAGTATCTGAAGACTCGGTGTCCCGCTGAAGTTTGGCGTCCTTATAAGTTGTTCACAGCCACCAAGATTTAAGATCTTCAAGCTTTTGAAATGCTGTTGAAATCAATCAAGCCAAAGGCCAGGGTTTAATTTTAATATTTTATATTGTTTTAGTGCAAAAGTTCCTAGCTAAGTAATATATATATGTGTAATGTTAAAAGAAGCATTATATTAGACATATATACCTGCATACTGAGTTGAACTCGGTTGATCTTGCTACCTTGCAAGTGTAACACTTCAAGATTTGCATGTCGAAAATCAGATGATATCCGTCTTGAATGACAATTATGCCACCAAAGCCATCTAAGCTCCTTAGGCAAATGTTTAAAAGATCCTTTGAGATGCACACCATCCAATTTGAGTAGTCGTAAATTTTTCATTCTTGAGAATACTTTGGTACTCAAAGGCTCATTTTTTAACATATTAGAATCTACATACATCCCTTCAATTGCTTCTGTGCCCTAATAAAAAATATACAAAAAAAAAAACACTTTATAGAAATACAAGTAAGCAAATAAATTGAGGCGAATAACTAAGTTGAAAGGAAATGTTTTACCTTGTCGCCACGGAGAACTTCATAGACATCATCTGGGTCCATAACTCTACTTCGTTTGCTAGGATCTCGAGAGGATTCCTTTCGAACAATACTTCTTGCCATTTCTCGCACTAAATCATGCATCTGGAGCTTCTCTTTTTCTTTGTGTCTATGTATTGTTAACAAGCATCTTTCTGTCAAAGTTCTTATTCCAATTTCATATTGAAACCCAAAATCTTGAATAGTATCATTTTTGTCTAATCCAATGAAAATACAAGCAATATCAAGGAAGATGCTTTGAATGTCATCATCAAGTGTGTCATAGCTTATTCTAAGAATTTCTTGGACATCATCAGGAGGCATCAACCTTAATTTATCAATGTTATTGCTCCATTCTTCCACTGATCTTCCACGCAAATGAGAGCCTAAAACCGTAAGTGCTAATGGAAGTCCACCAGTATATCTTACTATTCTTTCGGATACTTCAGTATAATCCTCTGGTGGTACAGGAACACCAAAAGCATGCCAACTTAAAAGTTGCAAAGAATCGTTAGAGCTTAATGCTTCAATCTCGTACTTCTCATGTGCTCTAAGGTCACTCAACAAATGAGCATTTCTAGTCGTTATTATAACAACACTGCCCAAACCAAACCAATTCCTTTGTCCCGCTAATGATTCTAATTGACTTATGTGGTCTACTTCATCAAGAACAATAAGAACTCTTTTTGATTTCAATCTTTCTTTAATCAAACTTATTCCTTCATCAACATTACCTATATCAAATTCTTTTATCTTGAGTATTTTGCGAAGAAGCTTCCTTTGTAAACCAACTAGACCATTATGTCCCTTAGAAATTTCTGATCTAATGCTCGCAACAAAGCAACTACCATCAAACCCTTGAAATCCCACGATCAATTGATTATATATGGCTTTAGCAAGGGTAGATTTTCCTATACCGCCCATACCAAAAATTCCAATCATTTGGACACAATCATTTATTTGAATTTTTAATATATCAAGTATATCTCTAACACGAGAATCGATTCCAACAGGGCGCTTTGCAACATTCATCGGCATAAAATTCAGCACCACTAGTACTTCTTTAGTAATGATGTTAATGAACTTTGATTCAAACCTGATCAAAATTTAAATTTATTGCATATAATCTTAGTCTATATTGTTAAAAAAAAAATTAAAAGAACAAAAAATTAAGAAATCAAATTAAACACATGATAGTAAACATTAAAACGCTAGTATAGCAATTTAATAATATCACAAACTTATTTCAGTATTTTTATATATAACAAGTTATTAGCATATATGGCCGGATTTTAGGGCGTGTAAGATGGGACAATAGCACATGGCCTCAATTTTTAGAGGGCCCAATATTTATTTTTGACCTAGCTACTTAAGAAATAAAAAATAAAATCTACAATTAATCCTAAAACTCGTTAGTTTTATCTCAAATAACTTTTCTCTCCTAATAATTATGACCTAATTAATTGAGCATGGCAAAACCATTATGTTTCCCTAACGGCACAAATGATATTTCAAGCCCTAAATCTACAGAGATAACTTGAAACTTGTACCATTCATCACCAATACCATTTACCATTCACCATTAAAGATTGCACGTATACTTTTGGTAGGACCTCATTTATTTATAAGAACTGGGCCACAAAAATCTAAAAATCGACCCTGAAGTTAGATGGATTCTAGATATTTCATAGCGATGGAGAAATTGGGCTTGGGGCCATGAAGTGATTAGAGGCAAATTATTACGTGGACCATAGTACATATAGTTCTGTGGATTATGAATATAAAGTACATTTTTAATATACTAAAAGTTTATTATTTTGTACTGAATATATATTATTTAATATTATATAAAATAATGTATTTTAAGTACTCAAATAATGATCTTTCAAATAATATACTTTATGTATATAAAAAATATATTTTTAGTATATTAAAAATGTATTTTTATTTATGATCCATGTAATAATATTTGGTGATTAGAGTCCACGGTTAAAGGAGGGGTATAAGTTCGGCCTAAGGAGTTGGGCCCATGGGATTAAAAAGGATGTGGGTGTGAATTTGACTAAAGTGCAAAGAAAACAATAGTTATTCTGTGTATCTTGGTCCACATAGTTGTATAGACCATATTTTAAAAAAGGCGTCATTTCATCTGATCTACTGCAACATATATCTTTATAATTTATATTGTACATTATTCTAAAGTATAATGTACATTATTTTAAAGCATAATGTACAAAGTACATTATCTTATCGAGAAGTTTCTTTATTCTAACACACAAAGTATATTATTCTAACACATAATATACATTATTCTAACACATAAAATACATTATTATAACTCATAATTTAACAACGTCATTTTAGATCGTGATCCCACATAGCAGTGTGACCACGGTGCACACAATAATTTGCCAATGGAAGATGGTGCAAATTGGGATGGAGAAGAAAGATTAGGATGTTGGAGGGCAAAGGTTGGAAAGATGGGATAAAAAGTACGAAGGGGCAAGGATTTCGGGGTCAAAAAGGCAAGAAGTGCGGGAGGGGGATTCGGGATCCACGAGATACAAAATTCATACTTGTAAGGTACATAATTTTATAACACAAGATACAAAAAATTACAACACAAGACACATACATATGTTATATATTTACTTATTTTTTTCAAATTTGATTTAGGTACATAATTTATGTTCATAAGCAGGGGCGGAACTATAGTGGAGACAGCTGCCCCCTCCCCCACCCCCACCCCTATATAATCCTTGCACACACACACACACACACACATATATATGTGTGTGTGTGTGCGCGCATATATAGTACATGTTTTAGTATAAGTATAAGAAAATAAATAAACTTAACCAGAGATGAGTTAGTTCATATGGTTAGAAATGTGTGTGAGCTTTGGAAAGTTAAGGGTTCAAATCCTTTAATATAGGCTTTGTTTAGTTTTTATGGCTTTTTACTATTGAGCCTTTGTTTCAATAAGTGTTTGTTGGTCGTCCGTGTAGTGGGCAATTCTGTCTTTTCAGTATATTGTTTTTTTCTTCCTAATATATCAGTACACTTGACGTTGCAAGGCTTATTTGACGCACAGAAACACGAAGAACTCCACAGCGAAGAAAGCACGAAGAATTCCACATAGAATTGGAGTGGTCGGCCAGCCTTGGAGACTAATCGCGATCGCGATCCAGCCTTGTCTATGGCAATTCCGCCGGCCGTTCAGGCTGGCGATGGCCTCTCTCAACCTCTAGGAGATGTCGTGGAGGCTCAGCGGAGTGATCGCCGAGATCGGATTGAATATCAGCTGCCTGCTGCGAAGTCGGGTGTTCTGAGTCGTCCGTTGCTTGTGGAGTATTTTCCGGCGATGGAGGTTGTGCATGGCCACTCGGAGGGCGGCAACGGAGAGGGGAGCGCATCGCGATCCTTTCCCCGCAATCAATTTGACGATCGCCAACCTCTTGAAATTCTGGGGTCCGAGGGGTCGCCGAGGGAATTCCGACCGGTTGCGGAGTCTGATGTCGTTCGGGATGGTGAGGGGAGTCTCCGTATAGTCAAAACCAACCACCACACTGGTCAAGGCTCGAGACAACGGTTACACGAAAACACCGCCCATAGTGCCACATACCGAATCAAGCAGGGGCTGAACTCAGCCAACCCAGCCGACGCCCAACAATTTCCATCCCAACACCTGCCGCAACCTTTGATCACCAAGCCCAGTTGCACAGCATGCCTGACTCGGTCCTTAGCTTACGTGCCCATCATCCCCTTCCTAAGACTGGACTTTGCCCTACCTACGTCGACATCCAATCCGGGATTGGACTTGTCTACTGCCTCGCCATCGATTCGAACCCATGACCTCGACTCTGATACCAATCATTGAATCTGAGCGCTGCACTATGTTTACTTCCTAGTGGGTCACCCATCCTATGACTACTGTAAGTCAAGCATGCTTCACCAAAGAGTTCTTTGGCTATCTGGTTGTCATATCCTACATAAAACCAATTGGTGATAAGTAGGAGGACAGTAACCATTAAACCACATCCCTCCATGGTAAGCCACAGGCGCCACGTCCTAAATCAAGCAGGGGCTGAACTTGGCTAACCTAGTCAAAACCCAACAGTTTCTATTGTATCTAAGTCATTTGGCACATTTTCTAATTGGTTTAACAAAATTACTCAAACTTTGAAAACTTTTTTTGATCACATAAACTTAGAACATGGGTACAATATATAATATGCAATAATTGACCATTAACATGTAAATGTAAGGTTTCAAGTAAAAAAATCTATAGATTTAGTATTGGAAGAAGTATTATCTAAAGAAATTGAATACAATTTATTTTTTAATTTAAACTCATACCGGCCAAAGTCTAGGCCTAGGCTGTGTCTGGGTCGGTTAGGAGCCTAAGTCGTGTCTGTACCCGGTCTTTGGCGATTTCGAGTTGGGCCTTGAGCTATTTTTTAATAGAACCTAAGCCAACCTTGTACAAGCTGGTCCGAGTCTGGGCGAGGCCCGGTGAAGCGCAGGCCTAAATTTTTTTTTGCCTGCTACGATCCTAACCCGACCCTTGGCCACCTCTATTCCTCTTCTAACTAGGACTCTTAGTATTGTTATAAATACATCTCTTCATGTAGTTTGTAAATTGAATTGTTCAATAATCAAAATCTTCTTAGAATTATTGTTCTCATCTGGCATAAGTAGACTTAAAGATCCATGGCTACCAACTCTACCACCATCGTCGCCGCCACCGAGGAAGTTGGAGATGACTTTGCATCTTCCTCTCACACCATCTTAAATATTTCCACCCCCATCCCAACCCTGATAAATACTCTAAAGACAACTTATCACTTTATATCCATTAAACTTACATCTTCGAACTATTTATTCTCGAAAACCCAACTTGTTTCCTTTCTTCGCGGACAAAATTTTAGTGGATACGTTGATGATATGTTACCGTGTCCAACTTCTTTCAGGCTTTGGATTGAAGTTTCATGGTAGCTAATCATGCGGGTCAAGATTGGGTCTATTGGGATTCTTCTATTTTGTCCATGCTCATCTCATCTCTATCTGATGCGTCCCGGGCCCTACGATAAGCTATTAAAGATGCATTTGGGTCCTCCTCTCGAGCACGTTCTTTGATCTCCTTAGTCAATTGCAATCTTTGTGCCAAGGAAATTCCACGATGAGTGAGTATCTTAGCAAAGCCAAGGATTTGAATAGATTACTTGGTAAAATTGGCCGACCAATTGATTTTGATAAACATAATCTCTATCTATTCAAGGGTCTCCACTCTGAGTACCAAGCAATGGTCTCCTCATTAATCACTAAGGAACGTATGACAATTGATCAATTTAACGACTATCTCATCGCACATCAGTTCATCTATGCAGATGATTTCTCTTTGCCTGCTCCCCAGCCCCACCATCAGTACTTGTTGCATAGAAAGGACCGACCACTGCCTCTCAATAGGAAAGCACTACTAATCAACATTGTGGTCGTGTTCATGGAAATAGAGGAAGGCGGGGTCGTGGACGTGGTCGTGGCTATGTTCCAAAGTGTCAAATCTGCAACAACTTAGGTCACACTGCCCTATAATGTTACCAAAGATATTTAAGAGCACCCGTTCCTCAAGCAAATATGACTTATGTTGATGATGTTGTAACAACCCAAAAAAATTTCTTCTAAATTAAACCAATTTTATAAAAACTAGTCAAAATATTTTTTTAATATTTCGTTCTTAAATTGACTAGTAACCTGTATAAATAAATTATTTATCCAAAATCCTTATATGGAATAATTTAATTCAAAATTTTATTTATATAATTAAGTTTCCAAAGCCCAATTTGAGGAAAAATATTCTTTTATCCAAAAGTCAATGTGAGAGGAACTTGTGAACCTGATAGCCAAGTTTTCTTTCAAAACTTAATTTCAAAATAAAACTATCTTATTTCTATATTTATTATATTGTATTGTGGTCCGAATTTAACCCAACTTTTGACCCAAATTATAACCCAAAGTTCAAAACCTCAAATTTCCCAAAATACCCTCACTTTGTCGTGTCTTTGTCTGATGAATGACCTAGGGCTTTGTGCCCAAGGTATATATAGTTACTATTCCATGAGACTTGCATCAATCCCTCCATCATTTCTAACTTTTTTTCCTGAGAGTTAAGCTAGCAAGAGGCAACACTAGTGTAAGGCTTCCTTCATCTCTTCCATTCATTTCCAAGTTTTCCATCACCACTCTTCTCTTCTTTAGCTAAGATAGTGTTAGTATTGAATATTTCGTGTGCATGTGAATGATATGTTGTATGTATTTCTTTGGTTGCTTGGTTTTGGGGAGTCTAGGTGGTGGAGAAGACAACCATCCATGAGGCTTAGTGAGGGATTTAAGCTTTTAGAGCATCAAGCTTGCGGTATAATCCATGGATATCCAAAATACATCATTTTTCCTTTATTTGCCTGATGAATATGTGCTAGCTACTGTTGATGATATGTGAGCTTTAGAAATGATATTAATCTTGTATTTGTGAGTAGAATGTGTTGTTGTTGTAATGTTGATATTATTACTTAGGTGGTGTGATTTGGGGGTTGTATCATGTTGGAAGTGAGAAAAAATGCACAAGGTTGGAACAGAGCAAGAGAGACAAAGCTACTGCCTCATCTCCCCTCGACGGCGTGTGGGCCTGGCCGCGGGTTCTGGGAGACCCGCCGGCCCCAAAGCTGCGCGGTTGGCGCAGCAGGTCTCACGAGACTCGCCGTCCAGCCCGCGCGACCTAGGGCCCTTGTGATTGTCGCGCGTCTAGCCACTTGTGTTTTGCGGGTTTCCGTGACTCGTAGGACTCGGGGACTTGTTTTAAAAATGTTATGTGCTACGTGCTATGTGCACAAAATTGTTTTCCCAACAAAAGCATGATTTATCTTCTTATTTATTGTGTGAATCAACTTGAGGTTTATTAAAAGTGTTGAGCATGATTCCTTATTTTTATACTCTTTTTGGCATGTTTTAATTGAGTCGAAAGTGTATCCCGAGCATGTCTAATTGTTGAAGTATGCGAACAATAGTATGAAGTGATTTATATCTACGTGAGTTTGTGATTACATGAACCCTTGGTTTTGAGTCTTTACATAAGACCTCGCATTGTTTTGACTAAACTTTATATCTCAAATGCTTATCACGTATCCCCTATCTTCATAAACTAAATTGCTATCTGTCCCTACCAGATTTTGGGTTGATGCTTATGAAACTACAGTCTTTCTAATTAACCATATGCCCTCTGCAACCTTGTACAATTTGAGTCTCTATGAAGTCATCAAGTAAACAACTCCAAACTACTCATTCCTTCGTGTCTTTGGTTGTCTATGTTTTCCATATCTCCATCCCTACAATAAACACACAATAGAGTACCGTTCTTCTTCGTATGTCTTCCTTGCGTATCCAGACTCATTTAGAGGATATCGTTGCTTGAATCTAAATACTGAAAAAATTCTTACCATTCACCATGTTTGATTTGATGAGAATGTTTTCTATTTTGCAACTAAAACTCCTCCATAGGTTTCTACTTTGACTCAAGGTGCGATACCATGGGTTGTCGTCAACATACCAAGAAGAATAGGAATCTAAGAGATCGACATGGCCACGACAAGCCTTGGACACAACCATATTGTAGAGACTTTGCCTACAACAAGAAAAGATACAATCGTGACACCACTAGGACACGGCCGTGTCGACGTGAACCCCCGTCCCTCAGTGGATTTTGCTCTCGACCATACTCCAACTATTCCTTCCATGATCGAACGACGTCGACCACCACCCTCAGCTCAACGTACACATCATATGGTCCTACAAAAAATGACTCGTGACTCCACAAGTAATAAAATTCTAATTTCATGTGTAGATGACTTTGAACCCACATACTACTCTCAAACTGCAAAGAGCCCCGAATGGCGAACAACAATGGACAACACTTGGAAGCTGGTTCCACATGAACGAGATATGAACGCCATTGGATACAAAGCCATACTAGTTGCAAAAAGATTCAATCAGGTTGAAGGAGAATATTATTTTGAAACTTTCAGTCTAGTCATTAAACCAACTACAGTAAGACTTTTCTTATCTCTTACTATAACAAAAGATTGATCTATCAGACAATTTGGTATTCAATGCCTTCCTCAATGGATATCTAAGTGAGAATGTTTACATGAAGCAACCACCAGGGTATATTGACAAAAATTTTCCTACTCATGTTTGCAAACTACAAAAGTCTCTATATCGTTTGAAGCAAGCACCACATGCATGGTTTAAACTTCTTCAAGATTGTCTACTCTCGATTGAGCTTTGAAAATTGATGTATCATTGTTTATCTATTATGCTGCAATGTTCGAATTTATTTTACTTGTCTATGTTGATAACATACTAATACTGAGCAGCAACAAAAGTCTTTTGGGTTACATAACAAGCAGACACTCCAAATTTCAAGATCCGAGATATGGGACCTCCAAACTTCTTCCTAGGAATCAAGACAGTTCACAACAAGGAGGTGATGATCCTATCACAACAAAAATACATGCTTGAAATAATCAAAAAATCTGGAATGGAACACTGCAAACCAATCTCCACTCCAATCCCAATCCATAGCAAGCTAAGTGCAACAAACTCATCTCAACCATATGACAATCCCGCACAATACCGCAGCTTAGTTGGAGCACTTCAATATCTAACCATCACATGTCCAGATCTCTCATTTTCTGCAAAAAGCTCTATCATTTTATGAAATCTCCAACCAATGATCACTGGGTTTCCCTAAAGCGTGTTCTAAGGTATGTCAAAGCTACTCTACGCTATGTGCTACATTTTATGAAATTAGACTCAAACAACATTCATGCATTTTATGTCCTAATGACCGCAAGTACACTAGTGGTTTTACCGTCTTCATTGGTAAAAATATAAGTTCATGGGCTTGCCGCAAACAAAAGAAAGGTGCTAGATCCTCACAGAAATAGAATATAAAGCTATAGTCGACGTCTCAGCAGAGGTAACATGGTTAATTTCTTTAATTAAAGAATTTGGTCTTACTATGCAAAAACTACCAAAACTTTGGTGTGACAACCTTGGTGCTACCAATTTGTGTGCAAATCTTATGTTTCGTTCAAGAACCAAACACTTTGAAATAGATTACCATTTTGTCCGTCACAACGTAGCATCAAAGGAACTACAAGTAAACTAAATTTCTACAAAAGACAAACTACTAGACATCTTCACCAAGCCACTAACCACTGCAAGGTTCAATCATCTAAGGAACAAGCTCAATGTTCTTTCTAGAGAAACTTAAGCTTGAGAGGGCGTATTAGGACTCCGTATTCTAGTCACACTAGAATTTCTTCTCCCTCCCCATGTGTTATTGTAAATCTACCTTTTATCATTCCTCATCTTACTAGGATTCTTTGTATATTTATAAATACATCTCTTCATGTACTTTGTAAATTGAATTGTTAAATAACAAAATTCTTTTTAGAAGTATTGTTCTACTAATAAAAAGTATGTTAGTGTAATAGATAAAGTGTTAACTTTTACATTGTGATTTCTTTATTGTAACTCACAAATACATTCTAATTTTATCCTTCTTTTTTCTTTTCACTAGTAAATTGTTAACACTATTAAATAATACCATTAAATATACTAATGTATAATTGTGTTTACTTTCTTGTAAACTTTTTACATTTTTCTTTATCCGTAATGTCTTTATTATTTCTATTTCTTTTTTCTCTTTATACTTTTACAACTTGTTTCTCATAATAATTATAAAGTTCATATACTTTTATATTTATTTTGATAATATAATTTCGTTTTAATTTGTGCTCATTGTGATTTTTCGTCTTGTTTCTCATAATAATTAAAAAGTCCATATACTTTTATATTTATTTTGATTATATAATTTCGCTTTAATTTGTGTTCATTCTACTTTTCTATAACGCATTGGGTGTGATTGTAAGTAGTTCAAAAAATAAACACAAATTGAAAAGAGCTAGCTAGGATTACCCATTTGCCATAGTTTGCAAATCCCATCCGGACAAATTAGCAGCCATAGAGAGTGCCGTTTTCCATTCATCAACTTTTTGTTCTCCAAATCGTTCTCTATGTCGAGCCAATGCATCACCAAACTCGCCTGTCTGGTTGCGGACCTCTGATGGATCAACATCATAGAATATGGGGAAAACAGTATGTTTCAACTGTTTTTTACGTTCCATGATCTTCACAAGTTCATCTAGACACCATCTAGATCGAGCATATGTTTTAGAGAATACAATGATAGATATTCTCGACTCTTCAATGGCCTTAAATAGCTCAACATAGATGTTCTCACCCTTCTCGATTCCTTCATCATCTCGAAAAATGTTGACTCCGGCTTGTCTTAAATTTGTATAAAGATGATCGATAAAGTTTTTTCGTGTATCGCCTCTAAAACTAAAGAAAACATCATACACCTTACTGGCATAAGACGAAGATGATGATGATGATGCCATATTTAATATTGAGTACACTATCTGGCGTCTTGCCTAATGAGCTAGTAACTCAAGACTCTAATCGTTTATATAACAATTGCAGTAAGGACTTAAAGATCAACAAAGCGTGTGTATCGGAGTAGAAGACTAGCAGTCGATAGCACAATATTCTCTTTTCATTTGCTAAATCTAGCACGTAGCTAGCCTAGTACCTAAACATTTAGGATTGTTAGGAAAAGGGAAAATTGTAATTTATGTCCCTCATAAATATGTCAATTATCAATGTTATTCTAGAATTATTAGTGGTGTAAATGTTGTCCATCAATTTTTAAAACGTGACATATATTGTCCTTTTCCTGAATTAGTAGAGGTTTAAATGTGGTTACCCGCCGTTTTTCTTGTTTGAAGATCACGTTTTCTTTCTTCTATTTTTCTTTCTTTGTTTGTTCTCTTTCCTTAGGTGATGAGGACGTGAGAACTAATCTTGTACGTTCGTTTTTTTATTTGGATGACTCGGATTTGATTTCCTAAGATTATATAGATTGATGTAGTGTTTTTTTCTTTTTTCTTTTATTTTTAGTGTGAACGCATGGGTAATTCTTGGCCAAATTTATTTCCTATTTTCTTGGATCATCATCGTTGCGATTTGGAGCCGCGATTTCTTCATCATCGATCGAGTGTTCGTCCATGCAAAGCGATCATTATTTTTTTTTTTTTTTGCTCATTCTTTTCAGTATAATAATGCCAATATTTGGATGTTGGTATATATGTACACATGTCTGGATAGTACGGTTGTGCATTCGGGTATGCTAGTTGTGCAACCCAGTATTGTGAGTGTGTATCGCAGGCTACTGAGATGTGCATTAGTGCACTAAGTGTGGTGCATCGGGGGACATTGAAATGTTCATCGTAGAATTTTTTGGCGGTATTTGAATGCACAATCAGAGAGTTATCAATGCATGACACTAGATATAGGAATGCATGACACTCGATATAGGAATGCACAACATTCTATATAGGAATGTACATCTTCTAATACTAATTTACCCAACTGTATAATTTTTAATATTTTAAAGAGATTTATTTCCTTAATCTGTATGATTTGTTTCTTTTAATCTGAGTCGTGCATCATTCTGATTCAATCGTCTAGATTAGTCCTCACGTCCACACCTAAGGATATATATATATATATATATATATATATATATATATATATATATATATATATATATATATATATATATATATATATATATATATACACGTCAGCTCAAATGTTGTCATGCTTTAACGTGTGGTCGGTGTGACTGCAACATTAGGTAGGTATGTAAAAATGCACCACTAGTATTAGAAAACGCACAACAATGAAATGTACGAATGCACCACAAAATGCACAAAACACTCAAAAAAATGTATCATACCTCCCCACTATGTGGTGCGCTTATGCATACCTAATGGTGCGTTTTATGGTGATGCATAGCTAATGATGTATTTTTTTGGTGCATTATATTGGTTCATTTTTTGTTGTGCGTTTCCCAATACTATTGGTGCATGTTTGCACACCTAATGGTGCAGCCCCACTGACCGCACGTTAAGGCCTGGTCGCACTGGAACTTGGCCATATATATATATATATATATATATATATATATATATATATATATATATATATATATATATATATATATATATATGTATATATATATATATATGTATATATATATATATATATGTATATATATATATATATATGTATATATATATATATATATATATATATATATATATATATATATATATATATATATATATATATATATAGGGATGCACTCAGGTGCGAATAAGTGCCCAGGAAGGAATATGCGAACGAATCAGTGCGCGACACGTGTCCAGATCTAATAACTTAAAAAAAATGTGGTGGCATTTTCGTAAATAATTGAACATCGAAGTGCAAGTAAAATCACTTACTAGTGCACCTACTTTCACCTATAAGTGCAAATAATTTTTCTTTGTTAGTATTCACTTTGCGCAAACACTCATGCACCTGGGTGTGCTTATAACAATAGGTGCAACTATTTATAACTATAGGTGCAACTACTTATAACTATAGGTGCACCAACTTTCACCTATAAGTGCATGTAATTTTTCCTTGTTAACATTCATTGATCCGAGTTCATCGCGTAGTAATACCCCAGAAAACCACCCGCAAACATTCATGCACCTAGGTGCAACTACTTATAACTATATGTGCAACTACTTATAACTATAGGTGCACTTTGTATTGATTCTCAGAGTAAATTTTTTACTTGCACCTATAATACATTTTACATGCAGTTGTAATACATTTTACTTGCACTTCGATGTTCAATTATTTACGAAAATGTCATCGCGTTTTTTTAAAAAAATCAGTGTTTCTCATCTATTAGATCTCGACACGTGGACGGACAGAATTCATTCCTATTTCGCGCCTGGGCGAAGCATTCGCACCTGAGTGCGATTCTATATATATATATATATATATATATATATATATATATATATATATATATATATATATATATATATATATATGTACTGGTTCAAATAAGGACAGCGCTTCCCATGCAGTCGGTGCGGATTGCACCATTAGGTATATGCATATATGTATGTATGTATGTATTATATATTTTTATTTATTTATTTATTTATTTATTTGTTAGTTTAGATTCCAATTTCTACTACTATCAAACAAAATGACTCATTTAACTTTTTTGAGTACTACTGACTCAATTACTAATGACTCATTTTTTACTTAAATCAATTACCATTATCAAGTATTTGATTCTCATTAGTATTCTGATTTCAATGTTGGAACCAAAAGCACCCTTAGTAATTACAAAATACATTACAATTTTAGTCATCTTCTTTTGAACAATGAAATAAAAAATAATGAAATAAAAAATAAGAGACATAAAATGAAACATAAAAATATATATATATATATATCATTGTCCAAGCATTGAGTATGAATTATATATATATGTGTGTGTGTGTGTGTGTGTGTGTGTGTGTGTGTGTGTGTGTGTGTGTGTGTGTGTGTGTGTGTGTGTGTGTTATACCCCTCCGTCACATTTTATGTTTCTAGTTGTGTTAATAAGCTTAACTAAAGTTATTTACAATTTAACTTTTCATAATATATTAAATTTAGAATTAGTATGTAAAATTTCTATATTTAGAAATTACATTTAAAGGATGATATTATTAAACACAAATAATCAAATTTAAAAATTATAAGAAAATGCTAATAAAAACAGTCAACAAAGAAAGAGTTTGTTTGACCAATGAATAGTAAATAGGACAGATGAAATGAGACTTTTTATTTTTATTTTTATTAATTAACTAATTATTTTTTAATTACAATTCATTGTGATTCATTCTAGTTAAACTCATTACCATTACTAAGGTTGTATTTGGTTCGCTCAAGAAAATCGGAATCAGAATGGGAATCAAATACTTAGTAATAGTAATGAGTTTTGGTGAAAGTATTTTGCATGTTTGGTTGTAGTGTGGAATTGGAATGATTACCAATATTGATGTTTAGTGACGTATAACGTATAATAGAAATAAAGGTTTTAAAAATATAAAAATAATAAATTAAGGCAATTGATCATAATATAATGACATCCAAAGTACTAATATGAACAAAAGAAAAAAAAAAGTAAAACAAAAATGTAAAAGCATTAATCCAAAATAGTTAGTCTATAGGCTAATTTTTACTTATTTAACCACAATTAGTTGTTTGACTTGATTTAAAAATTAATATAAGTGTTTGGTTAATTAGTTTTTTGTACTCTAAAATGTTAAAATTCAAAAAGCTACTCAAAGCAATTTGAGTGAATTCCATTTTTGGTCCTATTGTTATAGGGGCTTTTCCAATTTTAGTCCACCATAATTATTTTGGCCACATTGCGTCCACTATTATATAAAAGTGTTTCAATTTTAGTCCACTTTAAGATTTTTCGTGGACTAAAATTGGAACACTTTTAATAATAGTGGACGCAATGTTGCAAAAATAATTATGGTGGACTAAAATTGGAATGGTCCCTATAACAGTAGGACCAAAAATGGAATTCACTCAAGCAATATTTTCAATTAACATTTTGAGCAAGAAATTATACCGAACAGCTATCCGCTAACAGCTAATTTACCAAACACCTCTCTACAATCAGCTAATGTTATCAACTAGTTATACCCTCTAATTAATCCCAGTCGTTATATCGTGGACCGCGGTGCACGTGCACCGCGGTCAAAACGGCGCGCCGTTACAGTTAACGGAGCGCACATATTTGGTGTATTAATTATCAACTAACATTACAGTGTATCTAAACCGATAGTGCCTCACGTATTATTTTATACATTATCAATTGAAACTGCAAATCAATTGAAGTAAATTGTAGTTGTGTTGAAATGAAACTACAGTGTATCTAAACTGAAACTGCCTCACGTATTATTTTTATATTATCAACTGAAACTGCAATTGAATTGAAATAAAACTGTAGGTGTTAAAATGAAACTGCAGTGTATATAAAATGAAACTGAATATCATTTCACATTTTTTAGTATATATTGTGTAATGAAGTTGTAGTTATATCGAAATGATCATGTAATTGTGTTTTAATGAAACTATGGTGTATATAAAATAAAGGCACGAGTGTCAAATAGACCTATTTACTACTGCGAAGTGCTCAATTCCCACAACGAACTAAATTAAGTGTCAAATAGGCCCATCTACCAACTAAATTTGTTTGATTGACATTTTTTACAGGTTGCTAGCAGATTGCCTATCTAATTATTAAAAATAAATAAATAAATAGAATAAAAATTAAAAAAATTAAAAATTAAAAAAAATATATCAGGACAGCCGGCCGCTGATATTTTTTTTTAAGTTTTTAATTTTTTAATTTTTTAATTTTTTAATTTTTTAGTTTTTTAATTTTTTAATTTTTTAATTTTTTAATTTTTAATTTTTAATTTTTTAATTT